ATGTGTGCGTATGTAGGGGGGGGGGGGCAGCGCAACTCTGTTGCAAAGGATGTTGTCCATCAAGACTGCAGTTGCTGCGGTTTTAGTGCAGTAAACGCTCTGATGGAGAGATCATTTGATGCCTAAAATCTCGAGGATGGAACACTGGTGTACTAATCGCTATCTTCTTAAAACACGTAATAGTATGCAGGTTGTATTCTTTATCTCCCTTGAAGGCGAAAAATGTTCAGAAACTCTCATCTGCAGTCAAACTGGCAATCGTTCAGTGATATTCCTGGATATTCATTTAAGCAGTGATGTGTCCTAATCTAATCGTGTTTCTTCCGCTTTTGTGGAAATTTTTTGGTTCACCTTAACCTTTTTGGTAGGTTCTGATTAATGCATCCCAAGTTGTTTTGAATATGTGGGTTATCCCGCTTCATTATCATCTAAACCGTGAATTCAGCCCGCAAAATCCTACGTCACGTTGATACCGACTGCCTCTATTCTCTTACCAAATGCAGTTCACCCAAACACTCAAAGGATGGCTCTATCTGCAATCAAGCAAACTCGTTGGCTGGAGGAGAATGCGTCCCATACCGCGTAAGTCCTGTCACTGCTGCCCCACCTACTTTTCATAGTAGTCCACTGACTCGACCATTTCAGGAAATTGACACAACGATATGTTTGTTCTTTTTACAAATCTCCCATTTCAGGTGGGGTTTCCCAACACGAACTAGTTTTTTTATCTGTGAACTGTATTTTTCTGTTAAAGCTGTGACGATTTCCGAGGGATTTTTGCAATCGGTTCACTGCGTCTGGTCAGCATCTTTGCAAATGTTTTTTGTCATCAGCACTCAACCTCTTCGGTGATGAAGGATCATATTGGTTTCGCATTCCGGTTGCTTTTATGTACATTATTTCATATCTGACTCATCTTATTACATGTTCCAAAGCTGAGCTCATGGTGTAGTTCGCCATCCTCATTCAGATTGGGTCAAGTCAATGTAACCGTTTACATCAGTTAGTCAATCTTGTTGATATCTGCATGCAGGCACACATCCATCACATTTAATTTAGGGACCAAAGGGGATGTAGTTAACTTTCAAAGGTGACTGTATTGCCAAGATACGAATACTAATTTCACTATCTACCAATACCCCATTTCGGGTGCTCATAGTGCTACCCGAACTTCGATTTCAAATGTTTGGAAAATGAGATATTTGCGTTGTTTAGCCGTTCTCTTCCATGGCTTTGTTTTATTTTATTACAAGTACTGGGAATGCAGTAAATGAGAACAAACCTATTGTTTAAGGAACATTGAACCTGGTGCAGCCAGCTTGTCACTTTAACGTTTAAAGGTGATAGATACTGGTGTAAGCTCGAACAGAGACAAAGAAAGGTGGATGTTTCATTTTTTTTGTAGTTTTTAGAAAAATCATTCTGTTGGAAGCTAGAAATCCGGCATCTGAGTTGAATGCTTGGTACGGTGACTGATCATTTGTGCACGCAGCCCACTTTTATCGGGACCAGAACAGACCAGCTCAGCTGGAAGCAATCCACAGCATTAAGCGTCGATGAAGAGTAATGTCTGACCATAAGTTACAGACTGGAATCCATATGTTCAGTTTGAATCATCGATGAATTTCATTTTCACTTCTCATGACCACTAAGCTTATACTATCGTGTGACGGTTTCGACTGCTGTCGTTCGGTTCTCCATTTGGTCGATTAATGTGGGAAGACCTAATCAAATCCAAATTCAAGTTTTTGTCATGGGAAAAACTTACCAAGACTTCGCTTATCAAATCCCATGGGCTGTTTACACTTTGGGTTCGGAACGCGATTCACAAGATCACAGTTAGTCCATGTGAGTAAAATAGTAATGCAATGTTTTTGACGAGCACAGCAGAATATATTATGTAGTTGGGTGTTGAAGCATACTGTTTGTCAGAGCATCATCAAGCCGAAGCTTGAACAATACTAATATTGGGGCACAGACCACGTGAGGTGGTAGAGAGTTCCATGTGCTGCACAGTCTGACTGCAACGACTGGCGTTTGCAGTAGAGACGGCTATTTTGAAGTGCCAACATCAATGGATGCCCTCTGAGGTGAACATTGGTTGATAGAACCAAAAGTGATCTATATGGATGGTTGGGCTGTTGAAAAATCCCATATAGTAATATCATATCGCCTCTAGTTTGACGATATTGAAACGAGTATAGCCCCAATAGCTGTGATCTTTCGCCATAGGTCTTGGAATGTAGATCTTTGACCATCTTGGTAGCCATTCTCTGTGGATGTTCGAGCGCCTTCCGATCTCGCTGCAGTCATGGGTTCCAGGCCTGAATTGAGTACTCGGTGTATGGATGGATATGTGTCTAACAGACGGGGAAACAAAGCCGGTTCAAACGATCCAAAAACACGCTTTAGCAGTCCAGTCTGTTTTACCGCCATGGACGATACTCTGGAACAGTTTGTGGATCAACTCACGCCTGTGTGAATGACTACTCCCAGATCTTTCTCGTATGGAACATGAGGCAGAGTTTCGTGTCCGAGAGTGTAGGAAAACGAACATTGTAATGTAATGTTAAGACTTGGCATTTAGTAACGTTAAATTCCATGTCATTGGAGATAGATCATTTGTGGGCTTCGTCAAGGGTGTTCTGGAGATCAAATGAATCTTCTGGTTTTGTTATTGTCCTCCATATCTTGGCACCGTTTGCAAACAGCAGAGTTTGCCGTACGAGAACGTCTGGAAGAACATTTATAAAGACAAGGAAAAGACGTGGATCTAGCACAGATCCCTGTGGAACCCCAACGAGTTTAAGGCCAAATACACTACCAAATAAAGATACAAAAATCCAGGAATTCAGATAACTGCATCGAACGTGGGTTAATGCACGAGCATCTCTGTTTCCTACAGCCATATGGCTAATTGTCGGCCAGCAGTGAAAAGAAAAATTCAAGATAAATCATACAAAAATAGTTTATGCTTATCCGAGTCACGTAAGTTTGTGTACTTGGTATGGAGCGTGAGCGAGTAAGGGGTATGCTGTTCCTTTTTTGAAGTCCCGCTGCCTTGCGGGTCAGGTTTTGACTAGACGAAGGCGCCGGTTGTGAATTCCCCAAGGGAATTCATCTGCCTTCATCTGGGCAACTTGGCCGTATCGCGTCCGCCAACAAATCATGAAACTTTCGTTTCATGATGATCATTGTATTGTGATTTGTTTGGCACACTGTAAACTCGGACGCGTGTGAAATTAAAAAAATTGAAGTCTCAACCGCGAGGAATATTGGCACAGTCGTTATTAATCATCGGGATCCGTTTCATTGGGAACTCAAATTGCGTTCTATCCAGCATGATAACGTGTCTTAATTTAATTGGTGTTCAGTGACGTAAAATATATGGGATGTTAGTGCACTTGCGGGATAGTATCCACTGCTTCACCGTTATCACAAGCAGTCTGTTTGTCCTCCTCTTGCAGGGTGAAGGTTCTCATTCGAATCGTGAAAGACTTTCGGGCTCGTTTTCAAGGCTTTCATTATCTTTCCTCGTGGATGATTAACCTTTTGGTAAGTTTTGTCGATGGTAACATTATCATACTTCATACTTGTTTAAATGATACACATATATGCAATAGTGATCTGTAATTTTCAACTACTTATTTGTATTTGCAGTAGTTTAACTGAAATTTCGACTTGTGCTTTCTAGAATGACTTCTTTGGTGTTTCGAAGATACTGACGCGACATTATATGGTTTCTAAATGTATTCCGATGGTCGGGGAAGCGGTGGTTAATATTTTTCGTACACTAATAAGAAATAACATACTACTATTGTGATTTATTACTCACATTTCTAGATAGTGTGTTTGGTGCTCGCACAGTGAGGTGGTCAGCGGATTTTCACGGCATCTAGTAACGAATTAAGAGATTTACTATTGTATCTACAAAAGAGGCGAAGAGACTGTTACACTGTTTGACTACTGATCAAGAGTCGTCATGACACTGCGTCCAACTGTTGTGGATTACGTGCTTTGTTCCATATAATCCTACCTACTCGTTCGTGTTTTCCCTATAAAAACCCCAGAGTCCGGCATTAGTCTTATGCAATTATAACATAATGAGGTTGCACCAGATCCAGCATCCATGTAGCCTGCTGGAATGTTAGAACATTGTTAGACACAGGAAGCCAGTGTATCACGATGCGATCACTGCACGACTACAAGGTAGACATCTGTTGTCTGTCCAAAGTCCGACTACCTAACTGTGGCACAAAACTAATAAACGTACCACATAGCAACGCAACCTA